TACCCAGTCAGACCCCCAACGTATTTTAGGAATTACTTTAGGTTTGTTTAACTTTTTCAAGTTAGAAAGGAACAGGCCGCTTATAACCAGCCCACCTTTTTGTTAAATTAGGAATAGTTCTTGAGTCCCTGTTTGCCAAAAAACAGTTGACCTACGAACCAGATTTTCAAACATGTTTGATTTGAAAAGAAATCATCTTAGTAGAGGTCATAGTACGAGAGCTCTGGTTCGCCTTTAGACAGGCGGACTCGTCATAACTTTTTAGATCCTTACTAAGTATGAGAGAGTGACTTATGAGTAATCTTTGAGGTTACCCATTCGTCAGCTTTTATGCTTGAGTAGTAGAGGTACCAGGCGCCGGAGGCCGGCTGATCCCCTTGATTCGCCAATTTTTGTTGGCTATTTACTCAAGAGGTACCGGTTGTACTTATCCCAAGTAATACAGACGGCCATCCGACGCGGATGTTAACCGCTAGCACTTGTTTGGTTTAGTGTTAGAGTTATCCTTGTCTCAAAAACGGCTACGTGGTTACCCTTGGGGACAGTCGTATAGGTGCCGTGTAATTAGTTTATAGAGCAATGTTCCACCCAAAAGGGAGCTGCTCTCTGCGACAAATTTCATCCGAAGGGATGCCGTCGGACGCCTGCTATGATGTTGGGATAGGTCGTATTAATTTAAAGATTGGATCAGTTGGCTTGGCGCCTGGTCTGATCATTCGGCCAAAGGCCTTAGGTAGTTCATGGTGAACTAAGTGTAGGAGAGTAGCCGACTTTATAGCTACAGGCGACGTGCCCCTCTTAAATGTATATTTAAGTAAAATGGAGAGTAACCAACTGTTAATGGAGCAGGAGGCATACCTCTTAATATACAATTTAGATTAAGCAAAATAGCAAACTTTATTAGTAGCTCTCGGCTATTTACATTATTCAAAAATAATACTTCTTTAAATTATCTACATTCCAGGTTCGAGGCAAGGGTTGGCCGTCTGGTGTTTCCAGGCGGTAGGTGTCGTCCCTGACCTCTTCATAGATTTGGTAGGGTCCTTCCCAGTTGGGAGTTAATTTGCCTGACTCATTAGCCCTACCGACTGCTTCCATCTTTCTTAGTACAAAGTCCCCCACTTTGAGTGGACGCCTGTGTACTCGTTTGTTATACGCCCTTGTTATTCTCAGGCGGTAGATTTCATGGCGCAGGGCTGCATTGCCCCTTCGCTCTGGGAGTGAGTCCAATGCCAGGCGCATGGATTCCCAATTTGCCTCTTCGTCATACAGCATTATTCGAAGAGTTGGCTCGTAGTGTTCAATTGGAAGAACAGCTTCTGCCCCATAAGTTAGGAGGAATGGAGTCACTCCAGTCGCCCCTTTTTCAGTCGTCCTAATGGCCCAGAGAACATGTGGTAGTTCGTCTGCCCATAGGCCGCCTGCTCGTTCAATCTTCTTCTTAATACCGTCAGAGATGATCTTATTGAAAGCTTCTACTTGGCCGTTTGCTTGCAGACGGCCGACTGATGCGAAGCAGTGCGAGATGCCTTGGTTTCCCAGCCAATTTTTGAGAACAGGTGTCTCAAATTGAGGACCATTATCAAAAACCATAGACATGGGAACACCAAACCGAGTGATGACATTTTTCCAGATAAATGAGATTACATCCAACATCTTGATTCCCTTTACAGCCTCTACCTCTACCCATTTGGTGAAGTAGTCGACTTCCACGATTATGTACTTCCTGCCACCAGTAGCAGGCATATAGGGACCTAGGATATCCATGCCCCACTTAGCAAGCGGTAGTAGGCTATGGATGGCCGTGAGATCAGTAGCCGGACGGTGAACATGACGGATGGGCTTTTTCTTTCCTGGTGAAGGAAAGTGATACTTCGTTAGGTCGATCACTGGCGGCTCCCACTTCCTAGACTTAAGATAAGGGGTCGCCTCCCGACCTTGTACAGGCTTCTTCCTCCCAGATTGGGAGGGTCTTCTAGTCGACTGCTCCTTGGATGGAGCAGGCGTCTTCTTGTTGCTGAGATCCTGGATCTCCCCTTTGAAGCTATTCATGAAGGTCATGAGTTCACTTCTAGTGATGGGGGCAGATCCCTAGGCCGCCTGTTGATGATCAAGCGGCTGACCGGCTGGTTTACTAGAACCAGCCAGGCAATCCTGTCGCTCCTTCCTTTCAGAGGAACGAGTTCGTCAAGCTCTTAAGGTCCCGTCGGGGGCCGTGTGAGTCTCGACCTCAACCTCAGTGTTAGTATCCTGGTCCGTCTGAACCAGGGGGTCGTCCATGGGACGCTTGTCACTTAGGATTGGTACAGACTGTGATTCCATCTCGAAAGTACTCTTCCCACATACGGCGCCAAAAATGTTTCGGGGTTTTTTGATGTCCTACGAGAGAGTTACAGTTCTGGGACTAGTATCCTTGCCCCTGTACCTGCAAAACAACGGAGACTCCTTGTGGTGGAAGTTCCGCCTCCGACGGTCAAGTTAGTACTTGTTTGAGGAGTAATAAGTGCGGAAAAGTAAAGGTTGGGAGATCTGGTTCCTCTAGGGAAGGAGTGATCAGTGTGTTTATGTTCTCTAGGTGAGAGTAATTAATTGCTTAAAATCCCCCCTTTAATGAGGATTAATTAGAGTATTTATAGTCTTGGAAAGCGTGCCAGTCCTAGGTTTAGGTCAACCTAGGGCAGATTGGGCTTCTTCTGGAGACTGGGCCTAGGTGGCTGTTTGGCATATGGAGGCCACGTGGCATGACACAACTAGTCCACGGTGGACTGATCAGCACTTGACACGTGGCAGGTTCCAATTGGTCCATGTGGCGGACACATGGCAGGGCCTGAATAGTCCACGTGTCAGACGATGATTGGCTGGGGGAAAATCCCCTAATCAAGTATGTCAACTACTTCTGCATGTTGCTGGAAAGGATCAGGGTACAGTGAATCAATCATCCACAATTTCCTCCCCTTCAAATCCAGGGCTAGGAAAAACCAATGTGAATCATCCGGCGATTGTTGTGGGACTATAAGAACCGGGATGAATACTTGCAATCAAGAATAGAAAAATAAAAAACCAAAATTACTAACTACGTTTTGATTGACTCTAGAAAAAACTATCATAGACAAGTTCCTATCCACAAAACTTACTGTTTTGATTTCATGCATATTGTAGATTAAAAACACCTTCCCATACTTCCTAGTCACATGTTCTTCATTGTTCTCTTTCAAAAGCAGCTGGTCCTGCATCACAAAGTCAAAGGTATAACACATCAATATAAACTATTAAACATAAAGTATGCGGGTGCATGTTACGATAAGCCACTTCATAACGCGAAGCTTGGATCTAACATAATACGCTTACTCCGGTTGACAAAATCGGTGGTCTCCCAAAGCTTTGTATAAAGCACACTTGCCATCCTCACATATTGACTACCAACCCTAGCTCTCGGGTGAACAACAGTAAAGCACTCACTCTGGTTGGCTTCCATATTGTCGCATGCTATTAGAACTAATCCAGAACTGACCAACAAAAAATACACACAATTATAATTAACACGAACATATATCCCTTTAACAAAGGATTTACAATCCACACAAACATCACAAACTGAAGTAATGATGTCCCAGATGTACCATTGACAACCACAGGTACATCCATAACACAAAGATGTACCATTAACATGTAGCGGTATGAATGTAACATAAATATGTACCATTTACCTTTGAAGGTACATCATTACCAGAAAAATGTACCACTTAACTATAGAGGTACATCATTAACACAAACATGTACCAGTGAGACAATCATGTACCATTGGGAAACAAATAAAAATTAAGTTAGCATAAGTTAGGAATTACCACAAAGGGTCATTTAGCTCCTTCCACTTGCGCACATACTGCAGCATCCTTGTCTCAAACGATGTATGCCTATGGGTGACTGATGCCTTGGTGTAAATCGAGGAGCAAGCCGCTGTAGTGGGTTTAACAACCCTCTTGTTCGCAGTACCATCCCCACTGACTTCGACTGCGTCTTCTTCCCCATCAGATGATGAATTATTTGTTTCATCTGACCTATCCACCAACACTCTTGTCCCCCTGGTGCCTAGCAATCCTAAAACAACCTCCCCTCCCGCAACAAGTCAATTATCTTCATCTTCAAGATCATCACCCCAACCAGCTTCCTCATCCATTTCAACCTCATCCATTTCAACATCCTTCATCCCAGAACCACCTTCTTCTAAACTATCAATAGCTCCCACATCTTCAACATTGACAGCAATAGCAGCAAAATCAGGGACAAAGGTGTCACAAAGTTGAAGTGCACCTGGTTGTTCTAACTCCGCCTGTTGGTTCTTGTCTCCTGGACCATCAGTAGCCCCAACTAGGTCAACAGGTTCGAGCTCATCTACAACTCCCTTGCCAACTTGGTTGACTTGATCCTTCTCCTCTTCACCATACACTTCTTCATTCACATGCCCAATAACTTGCTTCTCAATAAGTTTACCACCAACCACTTTCTTGTGTGCATTAGCTATAGCAACTTCCTTCTCAATCGGCTTACCCACAATCATTTTATGTGCATTGGCTATAAACGTACACTGTGACATCAACTGATTCATTGATTGGAAAACATCAGCTAATTTCATGTCTATGACAGACATCACCTTAGGCATCATCCTATCCACCGCCTTCAAACACACAAAAACAGACACTATTACACAATGGCAAAGGATATATGAACATATATCATATATATGATAACTACAACTTCGCATTCATGCATTTTCAATGTACCTGCTGCATAATATTTTCCACATCAACCTGCTGCGTACTCTCTTCCACAACTACCTTTACCACCCTCCCCTTTGAAGAATAATCTCGGGGAGTCAAAGGATGCTCCTCGCCATAAGCAATATTCAAAGACTGCAAAATAGTCTAACAAAATTAGAAACCAAAACACATTATCTTCTGTTGTAAAAACCAGATAAACTTGAAAATAATACTAACCGGCAACTTTCCAAAGTCACCGGAATCTTTCTTATCATCTACAACAGCTTCGTTGATTTTATCTTGGGACCAAGCCATCAACCTAGGTCTCAACCCCCAACTCATTGGGACGCGACCAAGGTGATCGAGATAAAAAATCATCACATTATGTACAGCAGCATTGATACAAATTACCAGATGAACGATATGCAAAATATATTCAAATTACTCAACATACATTTTTAATACATGCCCAATTAAATTTACCAACACAAAAAGGATGCAACCACAAGATCCAGCAACATATCCGTCACGAGCAAATTTTTTTTAAAAAAATTCCTTGCTGCAACAACCATCTAGTTAAAAACAAATGTGCACCAGTCGTACTCCTTCGTTTCGTCATACACCAATAACGCCAGTATAAGCTTCACTCTAAGATAGCTTGTACTTGTCGTAGCACACAGTATGTAACCCAAAGCTACTATGAGGAAGGCTACCTTGAAATTTGCCTTCTCCTCCTCCAACAGCGGCAACACATTGCCTTCTTCGTTCGTTCGAATCAGTGCACCCAAAGCATTTGCTAATGAAATGTTGTCACCCTTCCCATCCCCCTTCCCATACAATTCCAGTATTCTCCTTTGCTCCACCTTAGATTCAGGATTCGTAGAAGGCTCTGCCTTCGACCCCATGGGAATCCCAAGTACACACTCGACCTGAACAGGACTCAAAGGCAACACATACTCATCTCCGAAAGTTATCGAACCATCTCCCATTACCCTCGTCAACAGTCAGTATGAAAATTCCCGGGGTAGAAACGTTAGAGGTACACTTAACAACCCTCCAAACCCCATTTCTGTCACCACCTTCTTCCTAGAATCATCAAACTTATGCACCACACTAGCGAAAGCCTTCACACCATGCAAATTAGGTGCCTACAACAATTCATTCAGAGCAAACAACCTTAGCATTCTATCCTAAAATTATTCAATCCATAACCAACAAAAATGCATAACCAACATAAGTTTTAACTTAGACAGTGGTACACAAATTCGTCATAGTGGTACTTCTCTATCTAAAAAATGCACCAGGATTCATTGCCTTAACATTTCAGGGGTGTTTATAGTAATTACTGACACTGGTACTTTTCTAACTTAGAAATGCACCACTAATAAGTTAATCTATCAGATCAAATTAAGGTATCACAATATGCAAACTTATAAGTGAGCAGTACTTTCCAATTATTCTCTTTAAAACCATTATCACCATCTTTCTGTCTTTATTCATTCATTATTGTCATCCTATTTAAATTAATTTCCCATGCCATGCCACAACTATCGACACAAAGGAGCATACACACACTAATAATACATACCTATTTAAAACTATCAAACCTAATTAATGATTCACAATATTCAAACTTCAGTTATTACTCAGCTGCAACTTACAATTAACCTATTTTAAACACAACTGTCAAGATCCTCATGTCTATTTATTCAGTATATTTTCACAACTACATAAACAAAGGACTTAAATAAAGGGCCAAACACATACAAACATTGCCCTGCCAAATCCCCCCATAATAAAGGTTGACAGAGTACTTTCTGTGTATTTCTTGATTGGGTTTTAACGACAACCCCTTTCTGCTTCACCTCTTCTCCCTTGGTCTTGCCGACCTGGACATAACAATTAACATTTCAATTTCCCAACCAAGTTTATACCGGTACATTGCATATACTACATTTCCATCTTACAAGCCTTACCTTTAGCTTGGCCCTCTTCCCTGTGTGTTTCTCAACAGCACCTCACTTGCACTTTCCATTTCCTACTTTTTTTCCTGCAGTAACTTGATGAGGTGATCTTGATACCACTCTGTTGTTGGTTCAGGTGCTTCCTCACTAGCTTCATCTTCTTCCACATCCTCATCTACTTCATAATCATCATCTTCAGATTCACCATCATCAGGACCAGAATCATCCGAAAAGCATCATCGGAAGCAGCATCCGCAGAATCATGTAATTTTTCTTCCCCAAAAACAAGATCAAATTTAAGTTTCTTCTTGCCAGTATTGACAACTTTCTTTTTAGGCGCCTCTTTCACCCTACTCATTATGGGTTTCGACCTCGCCTAAACAAACACAACAATTTAACAAAATAAATGAACTACACCAGACAACCATCACTAAACAAACACATATGTTTTTAGTTTCCACCAACAAAAACTCACCAACTCTAATCCCTTCTTCTTCCTCGGCATTATTTCCTCCTGGAAAGTTCAAATCTACCCAACATAAATCGAATTTTTCAACTACATACATTCATTTCAACCTACCCTTAACTTTTCACATACTACTTATAAATTATTCACTCTTAAAACGGCAACTTTATTCACATACACAACACTAACAACTTGACATTACCACAAAAACCCATGTCTAGCACTATCATGTCCAAGTGACTGGCAGAATGTTACTACAAAACCTCACAAAGTGAATGACATATTGAGGAGTAGCCCCAAGTAGAAAGCAAAATATTTAATCAATCAATGCCACAACTAATTATTCAATCAATGACACAACTAACAACTAACACTTAACACTTTCACAATTTAAGAAAAACAAATTCATACACTAGTAGAAAAAAATGACATTTGCTACGGGTTTTTTAGGAGTATTTGCTACAATTTTGAACCGTAGAACTAGTGGGCGTAGCGAATAAGAAAAACTATTTGCTACGGTTCAAAACTGTAGCAATTTTAAGTTTTTTGCTACGGCTTTTTTAAAAAATTGTAGCGTTTTTGCATTATTTACTACGGTTTTTTCAAAAAAAAGTAGCCTTTTGCTATTTTATGCTACTATTTTTTGTCTTAACCGTAGCATTAAGTGGCCCAAAAAAAAAAATAAAAATATATATATATATATATATATATATATATATTTGTTGCATTTTAAAGCTTAATTAGTGATGATTATACAACATATTCATAAAAGAAAAAAAAATCATAGAATTTATCTTACTTATACAATGTAAACTTTTTACAAATTAGAAAACTTTACAAATAAGGCTAGCAGCCTATTCAACAAATGAAAAGAGCAATAACATCAACTTTGGACAGCAACATATGGACTTTGCACAGTTTGATCGAATACGAACACAAGCATGCTCGCTCATCTCACTAGTAGAAAAAGGCAAATAGGCTCTGGCTGTTCAAAACCGACTTAGGGCACCACATAGGAAGAACAACAGCAGCACAGAAGTTGCAGCAGCATCAAAGATTGAAGTAGCAATGAATAAGCTGCAATATATTGCTCAGCAAGTTGAGCAGTGTGTGAGATAGGAGTCATAACTTGCAATATGATGCTTTAGAGAAAACTCACATGATATAAAATTTCATTGACACTAGTGAATTTAGCTTTAAGCCATAAATATAGATGTAGTTTTCAGATTATTCTAACAGCTAACATAGACATGAGCACAAGTCAACCTCAGAAAATTCTCCACTCTTAGCTGATCATGTATTGAACTCATGAATGGCTACCAAGGAACAACATGAGGGACAGATGAAATATGTCATGGAACATTCAAATCTAAAAGTAATCTCTAGGATATCAAGCAATTTGAAGATTTAAAATTCAATACTACAATGCAATAACAAAAGATAAGTAATGACCGTCATTTTGATCTACAAATCTGCCTTCTTTTGTACCTATTCTGCAGCACAATCCTGGTGTACATGTTCAATGTAACTAAGCTTCAGATTTAGATTCAAAAATAAATAAATAAATAAATATACCAGTCTTTTAGATGAAATCCAAGTTAGGCCAACTTTTAGCTCGTGACCAAGCACAAAATCATTGACTAATCTACTTGCTACCACACTTGAACACAAAAAAAAAAAAAAAAAAAAAAAAAAAAAAAAAAAAGAAGCAAGAGTAAACAGTTAAAAATATGATACTTTTAACTAGTGTCCATAACATGCAAGGACAAATCGGCCAAAAAATACAAAAATAAATAATGAAGAAGTTATATGAGCATGTGAATTACTGTCTCATATGGTCATTTTTAGGCAAAATTATCTGCTATACTCTTATCCCAACAAACTCTTTATAAATTGAGTACACAAACTTTAGAGTATTTCAATACTTATTATAGTTCTAATTTTTAGACAAGGTGGAAGACCATAGGTAGCAAGCAGGGAAGGGGAAAGGGCAGCAGCAGCCAGTCAAGGGGGAAAGTTCATCAAGGCAGCAGGCAGGGTGAGGGAAAGGTATTAGCAGCCAGCGGGAGGAAAGAAAAAGTTAAAAAAAATAAATTAATTTACAGTCCAAGACTCCAAGTGAAACTAAATGAGCAGTCATAGGATTTGAAGCAGAGGTATGCATTCATCGACTCCCTCAACTGCCATGTCCCTACAGTAGCACCCTCTTGAAACTTCTCTTAGTACCTTTTCAATACATCCCCTATAACCTGTATTTTTGGAAGCAATTCACCTTCCTAAAGTCCTTATATAAACCCACACTAAAAAAAAAAAAAAAAAAAATTAAAACAAAGTATTATTATCGAGGATGTGAGGGGCTTCTTATCTGCAAGTATACTGCAGCTATTCATTTCAGCTACATTCTACAATATCCTATGATGTTAAAACTAGCAGAGTAGTCTACAACAACTATTTCTATCAAGCGAAGTTCCAAATGCCACAAAAATGTACATGCACATAATCAGAGATACGCAAGTTCTAAAATTAAAAACATAATACAATATTTTAGCAACCATTATAGCCATCACCTCCGGTACTTAAAAGAGTTATGATCAAATTACTACAAATATATATGAATTGAAATCCTATCCGCAATAACCCTATATGGAAATAACAAAAACTCGCACAAAATTCAATTAAATTATTAATCCGCTAAGCTGTCAATATGACAACACAGATCAACTGGGAAAAATCCGACATTAAAGATTGAAAGAAACACAAAAGCTACTTCACACAATATAAATCTATAACAGAAAAACAAAACTCATAAATTATCAAAATAAAGTTACATATACTCAGATGATTAGTGTAGCACATCGCTTTGGATTGACGCATAACCAATCAGAATTTGCTGTATTATACCAGTACCCCTCTCTTTCCATCTTTATCAATTTTGTAAAGCTTCGCTTTTCTGATAAAAATTCTAAACAGGAAAAAAATAAATAAATAAATAAATAAAATAAAATAAAATAAAATTAGAAATAGAAAATATACCTAAAGTTGTGGCAAAATTCAAAAGATTATATTTGGATTAATAAATGCACAACAATAAAAGATTGAAAGAAACCATTCAAGCACAGCCAATTAAAACCTCACAAAACCCTAGAAACCAGAGCAAAAAGTAACCCAAAAATAGCAGCAAAATTCAACAATTTCATTAAAATTATAGCTTAAAACACTGTAATAATCATATTCAAACCTAAAAACCCTAAAACCATTAAAATTAGAGCTTAAATCACAAGAAACAATGATAATCCAATCGAAACAATGACAAAGCGAAGAAAAAATTCAGATCTTCACATCCAAAACCACAGCTGCAACATCAACACCAACCGTACCCAAACTCGATCAAATTTCATATCAAATTTTTGCAGTTTTCGCCTTAATTTCTTTGCGCGGACGCTCTGTCTAATTGAGATGAACGACTGAAGAAAAAATCAATAAAAGCGAAGAAAGAACTTAAATTTAAAGATTAATTAGAAAAGAGAGAAGAGAACCAAACCCTTTCAAGATCTTAGAAAGAAACACTATCATTTCTTGATTTCCCTTGAAGCCAGATCTGAGAAGAAAGGGATAATAGAGAGGAGGGAGAGAGAGAAAGAGAGTTCCAGAATACCGTAGCATAGGAGAGAGGGAAGAAAAGAGGGTGAGGCGTCTTTTTTTTTCCTATTTTTACAACAAACGCAACGGTTAAGCAATTAAACCGTAGTATTTTTTTAAAAACGCTACGGTTTGCCAACTCACCGAAGCAAATGTTGAGTGGTAAAAGAGACTTTTACTACTCAGTGACAAATTCTCTATCGACCCGTGAAAAAAATTCAGACACCGCCCAGACTCCTACGAGAGCCAGCGGCAGAATTCCATCATGAAAGGGTAAAAGAATAATCAACAATCATACTTTCATAATCAAAACTTCGACCAACACAAACCAAACATTTTAAATTTTTCACAATTCACATGCAACAACTCGACCCTACGCCATACATTTTACCAATTTACAGGTTTTATGGACACCAATCAAACTCTTTCCAATTAAACATCATGAATTACAAACGAAAGCCTAATTCGCTAAAGTCAGCGGATAACCCTAAATTACATAACCAAATACATCAAAAAAAACATCCTATTCATAAATTCAACAAGTACACATAAGTTTCTTAACTAACAACAATTATATATCATGAACTAAAAACGAAACCCTAATTCGCTAAATTCTGCGGATAACCCTAAATTACATAACCAAATGCATCAAAAAAAACATCCAACATTCGCAAATACAACAAGTACACGTAAATTTCTTAAATAACAAGAAGTTCGTATTAAACATAATACTACAAGTGTTTCGCTCCCATACCTTGACTCGAACGAAGCACAACCTCGCAGCGACCTACAATTTTCGGAACTGTGCTCATGTTTCCACCGCACCAAGCTTCTGCTGTTGCTCCGACAGGAGCGGCCGTCGTTGTCTCTTCGATGGAACATAGGAAATAGAGGAGAGGAGCTACAGAGGAAATAAAAAAAAAAAAAAAAAAAAAAAAAAAAAAAAAAAAAAAAAAAACGAGGAGAGAGAATGGTATTTTGACCAAATGACAGAAGTGTTAAATTAAGTATTTGAAAAATAGTCTTTTCATATTCAGCAAAAAGATCCACCATTACAATTCAAAATATAACGGGATGCCAAAGGTCAGCCTTTACCTTTTAATATTTTTTTCCCTGCTGAATTACAATACTACCCTCCTATATGCTTTCTAAGCACATAGCTGCTATGCGCTGATAAGCACTCGGTTACCACTAGTCCATTACTAGTAGAAGTTGTACTTCTTTCTCCATCCTCAACAGTTTTATTTATCTCCAGTTGTAAATATTTTAAACTTGATCAAATTTCTGTGCAAATTTTTTTTAAAAAAGATAACCCTTGAATGAGTTGATAATTGAGCATAATAATATTAAGCCATCATTACGTCAGATGATCGGCGGCGAGTAGAGTTTAGAGGAGAGAGATTAAAAAGCTGTATTTGGAGTTGAGATAACTACACTTCCTTACAAATTAACAATTTTTGAATGTGTTAAATTACTTTAGTTTTGTAGATCACCATTGAAACTACGAGAGAGAAAGAGATTGTAGGTGAGAGAGAAAGTAGATTCAGCATCATATATAAAAGAAATCAAAATACTACCTCCATTTTGCATTGAAACTACGAGAGAGAAAGAGATTGTAGGTGGAGAGAGAAAGTAGATTCAGCATCATATATAGTAGGTGGAGTGAGACATAAAATATTCCTTTTTGTTGCGAGTAATGCAAATAGAGGTAGTAATAAATTTGAAGAACAAAATCTCATAGCACGCCTCCGCCATTGTTGTTCACCATTGGAGCAATAGAAAAAGATTTAATACTTTGTGTTTGAATTTTGGGTTGAAGTTCAAATTGAAATTTGGTTTTAATTGAAAGTGGGCCCTAAGTTTCTGACCAATATAATTATGCCAATACATATTGTATGAAAATTGTGGGCTACTACATACAACCATTGTATGTGTAGCCTTTTTCATATAAAGAGATGCTAGCTACACATAAACTTGGTTTATGTGGGGTAGACATAAACTTCCAATGAGAAGTTGACATGTCATTACTAGCAAAAAAAAGGGGGGTGGGGAATTGGTAGGGAATATTATTTGGGTTTAGGCGCCTAAATGCAAGGTTGAGTGGGAGAAAAAGCTTAGGCGCCAAACTGCATTTAATGCATATAATTATGTTACTAAATAATTATAATATGATACTAATAAGTAGAATTTGTTACTATAAATAATAATGTCAAAGTCATTAATGAAGAGAGAGTTTTTTTAAAAAGTTGAATAATATATCATTTGGTAATGTTTCTTAAACTACAAATCAAAAAATAATTATAAAAACACCAATGAAATTCTTTTTTAACGCTCTTTCTAAAGACATCCATATCGATCATTTTTGAAAATGTTAAATAGTTGGACAATTTTAACCTTACTGTAGTTTTGTATTCTACTTTTATTTGTACTCTCGATACCAGTAAATATCGTTTTGTTATCAAAAATGGATATAACTTTAAAATAAAGCGGCGAAATATAAAAATAACATGTCAAATGGTTACAATAAAATATCTGATCGATTGTTCGTTACAATAAAATATAATTAACCGATGTAGTTTTATTCGCCTTTGTGTTTAATTAAATTGATAAGAAGATTATATTTCTAAATAATCTTCGTTTTGTAATCTTTTTTTATATCTTTGTTAGCATTTCTAGTATGATCTCATTCCTTAATATTAATATTAGATAATTAATTAAATACGTAATATTAGACACTTAAATTTTATCTTGTAATACACAAATATTGACTCTCAAGTTATTGTTGTAATACAAATACTGACTCTCAAATCCATATTTACAAAATAAAGAGCAACTCTTGAAATAGTATTTCTTACTTTAACCACACAAAACTAACGATAAAACTTACATTGGGCGATTTAAATTACGTAGTGAAGGGGTACAATCAAATAGTGGAGTGTTAAAATCAATAACATTTGTAATTCAAAAAGTAGTTATCTATATATATATATATATATATATATATATATATATATATATATATATATATATATATATATATATATATATATATATGTCAAAATGACTATTTATTAGTTCTAGATAACTATTTTCTGAATAAATGGTTATATATATATATACACACACAAATGAAGTAATTTATAACATCTTTAAAATAAAAAATAAAATGTTTGAAACTTTCTTTACTTGCAAGGAGATTTCTAAGTAATCTTCATTAACAAAGTAATGACTATTAAATGGAATACTCTAATTGGAATGCTAAAATCAAGTTATGAAGGGATAAAATAAAATAGTAAAGGGTTAAAAATAAAACCAACTAAGATTCAAAAAATAGTTATTGATTACTAATAAATTTACCATTTTGTCAAAACAAAAAATATATAAATTAAGTACAAATTATCGGTTACTAATAATACCATTTATTGAAAAATTAAAAACATACAAATGAAGTAAAAGTTTTTTAACAAATTAACTAATGACGGTACTTGAGTTAAGGGCTAAAATGAAGTAGTGAAGGGTAAAAATTTATTAGTGGATGGTTAAAAAAAAATATCATTTGGAATACAAAAAATAGTTATAAGTTACTAATAAATATATCATTTTAACAAAAAACAAAAAAAAAATAAAAAAATAAAAAAATAAAATAAAATAAAATAAATATGCAAATTAAATAAAAGTTTTAAAATATATTAATAAATAAAACTTAAAATTTTGAATCTTTGTTTAAACTTGTAAGGAGATTTCTAACTACTCTTCATTTTATTATCCTTTTTCTCATCGTGTAATAAGGAGATTAGTAACTATATTAAATTAATCATTCATCCATTGTTGTTTGCAATACTAATATGATCTTATTTCTTAATATTAGATAATCGATTACTCCAAGGTACAAAATTATTAAACTTGTAGTGTACACACATACTAACTCTGGATCAATTGTTATTTTTAAAAATGAAATGATACTCCTTCATAATAATATAATTTCTAAATCTCGATCAATTCTTTTACCAGAAAGTGAATATACGCTCCTTAATATTAATATTAAACAGTAATTGATTATTAAAAGGCATAACAATTATATATAATATTGCAATATACATAATATACATATACTAACATTCGATCAATTGTTTTACCAAAAAGTGAGATTATGCAAAAATAATCATTTACAAATTAAGTTATAATTATTGAAATACTTAATGTTTGCTTGAAACACCTAATACTAATGATAGCACTTGAGTTGATGGACTAAAATAAAATAGTGAAGGGTTAAAATAAAATGGTGGAGGGTTAAAATAAAATAAATTTAGAGTACAAATAATAGTTATCGGTTACTAATAAATATATCATATTGTCAAAAAAAGATTTAAAATGCAAAATAAGTAAAAGCTATAAACAATTTAATAATAGAACTTAAAATTTTCGAAACTTTGTTTACTTGTTTTGAGGAAATTTTCGAACTTAATTAAGATTTAAAAATGCAAAGTTAGTAAACATTTTAAAACATATCAATATTAAATTTGCGAATATTCACCATGTTTAACATTATGATACTTTATATTTGTATAGTATACACGACCATATTTACAAAATATAATATAAGTTCTGAATACTATTTAGATAATTGTTGTTACTGTAATATAGTTCTTGAATACTATTTAAATAAATGTTGTTACTAAATAAATTACAAACTCACAATCGTTACAACTCGTTTTATTTTTAAGACTTGGCGTTTTTTTCCCTTTCTTTTAATCACAATTATTTTTAATTATCATTTAATTGGCTACAAACGTTTCATGGATTGGAAAGCTTGATGTTTGGTTCTAAAAGTGAATATTAATTTTTTTTAATCTGTTACCGAGATAATTCAAGGAGTCGAATGTGTTTTCATTGTGAATAATCCAGTGTCCATCTTCTGTTACTAATCAATAATCTAACTTGAAGAAATTTTATACTTTTATGTTAAGATTTGGGAAAATTGAAGAACATTGGAAATAACGATATTTCCATTCACATGATACAATACGATTTGACTAAAATGGGATGAAAATACATCAAAATTTGTCTTCAAACCAATTTTATCATCTGAAAATCAATAAAATGATCG